TTTGGCTGTTAGTATGAAACAGTATAGGGATGTTTTAATTAATTTGTTTACTATTTGACGATGAAGTGGTATATAGAAGGAATTTGACGATGTCTTTATTTCCAAATTTTAGACACTCGTAATCTACTTCAATCAGTAACGTTTACCTAAACAGTTTGTGATGTGGACGCTGTTTTAGTTACTAATTTTTACGTACACCATTGCGTGTCCTAGATTTTGATTCTATTTGTCAAGCGACATGTCACATTAGCAAATGTATGAAACTTGACAACCCGTTCTCGTCCGTTTAAAAGCGGAGATAATATTCGTGTTTCAAGTGAAAAACTCATGTTTATGTAACAAGAATTAACTGAGGCATTGAGAGCAGGGAGCGAACTTTGTAAAAACTTTCGGGCAACAGGTACCCAAAAATAGAAAAACAATTATTTTTGCATTGGCTCATATTTTTTTTCGTGTGAGTAGTTATAACTAAATACTTATAAAATCACAATATTTCCTTTTTTTTTAATTATAAAGCTTATACAGTTACTAAATGTAGGAATATGTCAAGAAATATAAACCAAAGTTATTCCGAAAATCACTATTTTACCTAGAATAAGATATTTTATTTTAACCGATATAAAATATATTTTAAAAAAAACCCCCCCTCCCGAATTAAAGCCTGAATCGATTACTGACTAAAAATTGTTGTGAATCATATCATCTAAGTCCCGTTCGTGTCCCCTAGTTTGTAAAATTCTCTCACATTCGGCTTTTTAGTAGCAAAAAATTCCTTGACTTTTTCAAGTTTTAAAAGTTTCTGAACTTTCCAGATATCATATTTCCGGTAGTCATCGTGTAACAGAGTAATGAGAAATAGTAACGTAAGCAAATGTAGGTCATCTCGTCCGAGAGTATTAATACTTTCCGAGTAATTATAAACGATGTTAACAGTCGTGCAATAAAAATAAAACGATTTAATGGCACCATTTACTTTAGGGTTAAGGTCTCTATCAGATAAGGAAGCATTTCCTCTACACCTAGAAATGTCGTAAAGCCGTTACTTAATAGCGTATCCATTACCATTACTTCAGCGTCATATTAAGATAAAGGTTAAATATCACTAAGTTGAATTTACTAAATGGTTTCTCTCCTGAGGCAGAAACCAGATAATTCCAGAACATATTTTTTAACAAAAGCGGTATGCAAATAGTGTAGTGTAAAAAATAAATCGGACGCAGGACGAAATCAATAAAATTCAAAAGAAATACTTATGTTTTTTGGAACTTAATATAGGAGTGGGGTAGCTCAGTGGTAGGGCGCTGAGCTTCCAATGTTCAAGGTCCCAAGTTCGAATCTCGGCTTATGGCAGATAAATTATTTATTCCGTTTCATCAACCGTGGATCGACCCTGGGGTCGAGAGCCCCACCCGGACACACCCAGCCTCTATACCATAACTTAAATAATTGATTAAGGGGGGGAAAACGGATGGTTGAGCGTGATCTCGGTGAAATCACCTCCTTGCACCACCGTTGACCAAGAAACAGTACTTTTCCTAAATAGTGTTGAGCCCAAGACCCTTCATTAGGTACAGATTTTTAATTTGCAAGACCGACATATTTTTCGTTTCATTTCACACCATGTATCCCATTTACTAATTGTAATATATCTTTTAAACACACGAACGTGAACGTCTTAGATAAAAAAAGGGAGTGTATTGGTACTGTTCATTTTGTATATCGTCAAAGGGTTTACTTATTATTTAATTATATGCATATCCACAATTATCACCAACAGAAAAAATATTAAAAAGTAAACCACAATGAAAAAAAAAATCACAATAAACTGTTGACCACTTGAATATCATTTGGCCATCGAGAAATCACTGCAGATTATAAAGCAGAATAACATCATCAAAAGCTAGATTCATGATTTCTCTAGACAGGAAACCGATTAGTTCTCCATATTAGCTAATATCGAAGAATAATTGATATTAAGCCAACTGTACTAGACTAATCTAGAACTAAACTTAACTCACACTATCAAACTTCAAAATGATCAAAGCAACTGAGAAGTTATTGAATTTCACCAACGATCCTTGTTCAAATACACCCAATAAATGTACCCCAGAATCCATGTGCAGTATTGATTTCAATGATTAAGTTTCTCTTTTATCTACTGGTACTTTTATCTATTCTATTTATATTGGGTTATTAGTTCAAAAAAAGTAGATGGATAGATAGAATCAACAAAGATACCTATTTGAATGCAGCTAACAGGAAAGCAATAGCCCAAGATGGGTACAAGTAGAGGAGAAGGTTGGTCCAGACAGACTAGATGTTTTTTTATTTCATTCTAGAGGGTGTTTCAATTCTTAATGGAGGTCCAATTTTATCTTTTCTTAAGATGGTAGGGAGTGGGAATTATTATATGGGAATTAAGTTATGAAGATGGGAATTATTTTCCCGAAACGCCAACTTGACATGTAAATAAGCCAATTGTTTGTATAACTGAGAATAAAGAATATTATACAAGACCCCAGCAAAAAAAAAGAAAAGAAGAATTTAATTTTTATATAAAAATCATGAATGTAAACATAGAGATATAATACTCAATGACCTAGATTGCGGCAGATTGTATTATGTATATTTAATAAAATTCGATCTAAAGAAAAAAAAAAAGTACCAACTTTAATGGCGTCAAGGTTCACAGATCAGCCCACGCTAAGGTATGCCAAGTAATGACAAAAAAAATGCAAACCTGTAAAAGAGTTTCCTTTTTCGCTAAGAAGTTCTGTGAAAACTTCCTCCTAAGGGGATAATTTAACAGCAAGAAAAAGTTTAGGGAGGGGGCGAAGGGAAAACGAGAAGAAAATGCAGGACTTTTTCAGTTAATAGATCGACTTAGGTTACCTGCTACAGTGGTATCTAGTCCTATCTTAATCTCTAAGCATATGGTAGTACGGGAAGTCAAATGATCCAATTGATTGGTGCAACTTGAATCGTTTTAACATTTTAGTTTTCAAACCCTTAGTAAAAAAAAACAAATTATGGATTTTTTTCTATTCATTGTTATGATTAAATAAAACTACTTCACGGTTAGCGTTCGATAGCGTACAATTATTGCATTAGATTGTAACTTTCTTTTTGTTTTTTTTTATTTATTTAGAAATATAATAATCTATCACGTGGGCAATAATTATAGTGATATATGGACACATTCACACCATATATTTTATATATATATATATATATATATATATATATATATATATATATATAAAAAACATAACATTAACAAAAGTAAAATAATAATCAAAATCTCTGTACAATAAAAAATAAAATAGGCTAAAGATAAGTAAATTAAAAACATAAAAACACAGTCATAATAAATACAATCAGGCAGGGAGCCCCAAGCCAGATTTCTCCCTCAAACTATAGAAGGAAAAACAGGTCTCCAGGAGATCCTGCGCTGCTCTCTCAACGTGTCACTGGTGCTAAAGTCAGTGGAGTTTGAGCGAGTGCACTTTAGCCTCATACACTCATGTCTTGATTGGAGAATCTGGCCATTGCCAGAACTCCAAGGTGTATACTACAAAAGTATATACCTTTTTTTTTTCTTTCTCCACATTCCCTTATGTCTATTATTTCATATTATATACTTTTCTTTCAATCTCTCCTGTATATCTGTAAAAGTATATTCAGATTTGCATATATTACATATTACACTACAACAATGGTTACCATCTATTTACTTTAGTTTAGGATCTTGTTACTTACTTTGTTTATATTTTAATGCACTTACTGTTTATAATTTTAATAAGCTTATTCACATTGTTGATAATTTTTTGTCATAATATTATGTAACTTCCACAACTCTCTATATTTGTGTATCTTGTCCGTTCTAGCCTTGAAGAAGACCTGCAAAGACGGGTAGGAACTTTGACTTTTAATAAAATAGTTTTGCCACTATTCAGCCTATTTATGACTGCCACCCCGGACCATCTCTTTCCTTTAAATTACTTTTCTTTTTATTCTTGAAACTTAGAAAGTTTAAGAAAGAAAAAAATTATATTTTAATTATATAAAATTAAGCTTTAATGAAATGAACTCACCGAAATTATTTCCTTCCTAAGGACCAGTATAACACTTATAGTATTAGTATAACACCTAGAGTATTATAGAAACTCATCTCACCAGTTTAAGGTTTAATACCTATATACCATTTTAATACATATAATACATAAATACATAATATAATACATAACACTGCCTATTTAGCCTTCTTGGGGTCCATCAGAGGACCAAAAAACCTACATGGTACCCACATTTAACACTATGTCATAACAGTCGATGAAATTAATCACTTAAGAAGCAACAAGGCATTACTCCATCGTGTCATACTGTAGACAGGTTTGATTTATGTTAACCCTAGAATGCTAAACATTCGCAAGATCTTGATAAAACCGCGATATAATTCATTAGAAAGTTCAACTCTTAGCAGCGCTTGCCGGCGGTTAATTGAAAATAACTGATTAAAGAATTTGCTGTTTTTTCCTCTAGTGGTTTAAAGGATTATAACCGCTCAAAATAATGGAATATGGAAATAATCGTTTTTATTTTCTCAAAAAAAAAATCATTATTCAATTTAAACAAACTATTTTAATTATTTTTGACAACAATAATTAATTTACCAACAACAATAAGTTTATTTTTTTAATTATATTTTACGTTTGGCTCAGAATTCCCCTGAATGTTTGTAAATATTGTACCTAGTTCTGTCATAAATATTGTTACAAGGAAATATATACATATTTCAAAAGAAAATTATTTTTTTCAAAAACTTTATTAGAAAATTAAATTAATATCTATAGAGAGTAAAAAAGAAATTAGTCAAAATGCCACATTTTTCCGTGACACAGGTATTTAATCTCCGTGGCCAGTCATCAATAGCAGCACGCAGTACTTTTCGAGGAAAGCGCTCAACTGCTCGGACCAGAGATTGTTTGAGGCTTTCCAAGTTAGGGTCTCCTCTGTGGCATGTCATCCTCTCCAGTTCGGTCCAAAGCCGATAGATAATCTAGTGGGTTGAGATCAGGGCTTCTGATGGCCAATCCGAGGAAGAGACGAACTCTGGAATGTTCTTTTACAGCCACTGCTGAGTTGATCTGGCCTTGTGAGCTGGAGCGGAATCCTGCTGGAAAACCCAATGACTTCCAGCAAACAGAGTATCATTTAGAGGCTTGGCAACAGGTTCCGAAATATCGTCCTGATAGTTGTTAGCGGCTGATTTAACTCCTTTTTCACAAAAATGGACTTTTGATGCCATCATAGCAAACTCCCCACCAAAAATCACTGAGGAAGGGTGATGACCTCTTTCCACTCTTCCATTTACTTCCTGGGCTTCTTAAGAGCTGTGTGCGTACACACGATCTTTTTAGAGATTAAATTTTTATTCAATTGTAAAAAATTTCTCATCGCTAAACAAAAATTTCGATGAAGACCATTGATTTAACGGCCAAGGAGCACTTTGCATCTATCCAATATTTTTTTTATTTTTTTTTTTAGGGAAATGGTTAGCCTTTATCCTGCCATTCTTCGAAATGCGCCCCTAAGGTCACTTTTTATTATGCAAGCCATTGATCTGACAGAGATTCCCATTTTCCGAGACATGATTTGTTGTTTTTGAAAGCGATTTCATCTGATTCGAACAGCCACTGCTCTCACTGCATATACCGTTCTCACAGTGAGAGGAATTTCGAGGAATTGTGAGGCACGGTCGAGGTCTGTCACATACAGATAGGTTCTCATCATATCTATTTATAGTGCGGTACATGAACATGCGGCTGATACCCACAGATTTCAAAGTGTTAAAAATCTCTGACCTACATTTTCCAACTTTGTGTAAGGCGATCAATTCGGTTTTCTTTATGACCCCACTTCATGTTAAATAATCGAAAGAAAAATACAAACTAATTGGGATTATTATTATGACATGTAAAGAAAATAACCTGATAGTGATAAGGATTATCTAAATAATAGCCAAGGACTAAAACAAAGTTCAAATTTTGTAACAGTATTTATGGCAGAACTAGGTATATAAAAGTACGCCTGTATTTAAGTTGTTGTTAACTATGTATTTGTAATCAAAGTAGTTTGTAGTAAATTTATTTTTTATTAATTATTCATTCATTATTCACAAACTTGTGAAAACTTATGTTTTCATTCAAATTTAAGACTATTTATTACTTTTCTGAATGTGATTTAATTGAATTCAATCAAAATTTACTATTTATAATAATGTAAACTAACACCAAATCACTTCCTACAACAAAGCATTAAACTAGAAAAATTTTTTAATCAAAATTTCCTAATGAAATATAGACGTTCGAATTGTATTAACAATATAAACTAGAAAAGTGTTAATCAAAATATAAAACAGACCAATTGGTTTTTATCACAATTGTAATAATAAAGTGGAGAGATCCATGGGCAATATCGCCAAGCTTGATCATCATAAAAAACTAACAGTAATCTTATTCTGCCATTTAAAAGACAGCAATAAAAAATGTTTAGCTATAAGCAGAAATAACACAAAACTCGTTAAATTATATAAATAACTCAAAAAAAAAAACATGATAACAATGATCAATTCCTGAAACGATAATTATATCATTTTATATAGTTAACTTGAGACTGCTTTCATGGTAATTTTCTATAATTGAAGAATAATTAATATAATTTATAAAAAACCTCATTTTTAATTTTTTTTATGGAACCTCAAAATATAAAAAAAAAAATTATTTGTTTTATGTTAAAAATATAGAACGAAAAAAATTCGTAATGTTTTTATTGACATAAAAAAGCATATTTTTATTTTCTCATAGTGAATTGGCAACTGTCCATAAAGAAATTTTATTTTTAATCAATTTTTTTTGTTTGAGTTACAATATTTTATTTTGTTGTTTAATTTATTGTAGATTGAGTGTGAATGTGCTCACGGAGCACTACTATAAATTTCCTTTATTAAGACAAATTGTAATATTTTTTAATAAAAAAAATAATAATAAAATATGATTCTTAAAATCAAAACACTCGAACCGATTGTTAAGTTAACTATCATCAAATCTCAATAGCATTATGTAGTTTCCGTATAGTTATAGGTACTATTATATATACAAAGAATAAATATAATAGATTTATTCAACTCAGAATTAAATTTTGATTTTTAGATAAAACGCCAATTTGCCTAGTTAAATTTTGAAATAAAAAAAAAATTATAAATTTAGGTCATCCAAACTTTTTATCATCGCTGATTAACTATGAACTGACCTTTTTTTTTATTGTTAAAGCAAAGAAGGGTTTGTTGATAGTTATTAAAAATCATATTTAATAAAAAAAAATTAAGTAGAGGAAAATTTAAATTTTTTGTGAAAAAAACATTAATTTTAGGACTTTAGCGGAACTTCAAGATTTTAATATAGCAAAAACAACATTTCTTATAATTCTTCTTGACATAAAAAGCCTATTAGAAATTTGTACTCCGAAAAAATGTGTCTTTCGTTCCAACCTAATTATAAAGTGTTGATAATAAACGTAAATGTAACATTTACTAATTAATCTATAAATCGCCTGACCGTTAATTAGGTTGCTAAGTTTTATATCAACTATCAAGGGCTTGGGACTTATCTCCCACGACGTCCTAGCTATCCTCACGCGAGACCTAACCAGCCCTTCCTGCACTTTAACCCTTCCAAGCTCCGTCCTATAAACAGCCAAGCGTACTTAGGAGGATATATTACCTTAATCAGTCTTTTGATTGTAGATAACAAGTTGATATGATGCTATCTGATAATCTGATAATCAAGGGTATGAAACTCCCAAAAGTCGCCTTAGGAAGGCAAACGTAGGTGTCAAAGATATACCAATTTCTCCAATGGTAAAAAAATTAGAAATAAAACATTTTTGAGTGAACTTAACCTATAAGTAAGGCCAGGATTGGCAAGCAAATGCATATTTTTTTTTCTTTTTTCAAAAATATGAGTCGATACATTTAATAACAAGTCGTTTTAAAAATATCTACAGAATTTTATGTTAGATGTATTTGTATATTTGACCAACATTTTATTTTTGCATATATCATACATATTTCGGTCCATTTATTTCATAAATAAATGGTATAATTAATAAAATTACACGTTAATTTTTATGCAAATCTATATTTATTTCAATTTTTAATTGTTATACTAAATGACATGTTTCAGGTTAATTTTCAAGTTGTTTTTAAACCGCCTACCTACGTTCTTAAGTGATTTTTTTATTTATTTATTGATTATTACAACAGTCTGTCACTTTGACATTAGTTATAGTGAGTTAGGACAAACTAGGTGATGAATTAAAAGAAAACAAAATGGATTAAAAAATCCTAATCATAATTTGATATTTTGTTTTGCTATTAAGAAAATTATTAAAGCAAAAAGACATTTTGCAAAAATCATGTTTTCAGTCGAAAAACAAATTCATAATGGACGCAAAAAAAAAAGAAATATGAACCTTAAAGTGTTTATATTTTTAAACTCTCCAATAAACGGATAGACTGATAAAAATGTCGAGCAGCATGATTTTGGTGTTTTAAAATGGATTTTTTATTTCGTTTTATACTCTGTGGATTATTTGTCGTAAAACAGCCTAATCATCAGAGCCGGATGGTTTATTTGGAGTTTTATTTCATTGGAATCTGTCACTTACTCACTTATTCGGAACTGACAAACACTCGAAGATAGACGCGTTTAAATCTAAACGAAGAGGTCGCACCGATATAAGAGGACAAAATCATCGAACGTAATTTTCAAATAAAGCTCTGGTATTTGTCACAAATAAAATTTTTACAGTCTTAATTATACCAATATAAGTTAAATTTATGTTGAAAATTTAATTATTAAGAAAATTAAAATTTTAAATCATAATTTCTAAGAATTTATAAAAAACTAACAATAATATTAATATTCAGTAACTAGTATGGAACTTTATTTACCTTCTTCATCAGTATTATTTATTTACTTCTTATATTTATATTTATTTCTTTATTATTTGTATATATTGTATGAATGAGAACTTTTAGCCCTAATGCTTATAGCCCTCCAGCAGTGGCTGATTGTATTATTATTCAATAAATAGATTTTAAAAAAAAAGTATGGAACTATTTAAGTTTATTTAATCTATTTCCTTTACCTTATAATCAACATCAGAAAGCTGAACCTCTGACTGAAGTCCCTCAAAATCGCTTCCTTACAGCAATTTAAATGTTCCTTTTATTTCCTTCGTTTTTTACTTTCCTTGTCTACGCAGTCTGGAAATATTCACCTCTTTTAAAAATCCATAACCTCGTAAAAATGTCCCTTTTGGGCAACACTATTATATTATATCACATATTTTCAGCTCATTAATTTTTGTTCAAGCACTCAAGAAAACGTTTTTCGGTTATCAGGTCTGGAAAATATGCTTCAGCTATGACACGATTCTCTAAAAATAATTCATTTTCTGAACATTTTTTTAACACTCGTTTATTTTGTATGTAAATAGGTCTACGTTGTCTTTCAAACCTGTATAATCTTTATTATATAACTAAGCCAATATTGAAAATTATCTATTTAAGCCCTGATAGAGAATACTAATGCGAATAAAACCTATATTATATTAAAAACTGCTTAATAATACACTGATATAATGAGTTTAATCATAATCGTTAAAGCCGTTTTTTAGAAAATCGTAAAAATGTGTTAAATCTATTGTATAAAGTACCACTTCCGATTTACCGATTTTGACGAAAATATAAAGCTGCAACATCGAAAGCTTACAAACACCTTAAATATGCAATTTCAGTTTCATACGACCTTTCGTTTTTGAGCTAGACTGATAACATACACAAACACAGACCATTTTGTGGGACTTGGTTATTTGGACTCAGGAGAACTCAAAACATGTATTTCCATTGAAACTCAGGCTCGAAAATTTGCACGATCGCAATAATTACCCTTACTATACGTATTTGCATATATAGGTAAGTGAAATTTTAAAAAAAAATCAACTCAAATGCTCCGCAAAATTTGATAATTTTTTTTTAAAAATAATATAAAAAGTAATACAAAATAAAAAAATAAAAACTGCACCAGCTGGATACTGGGAAGGGTATTTCCTAGACTATATAATTGTTGTTTGTGTTTTTCTAAAGTATGATCATAGCCACTTTTTAAATGAAATTGTAACCAAACTCAAACTGGATGAACCTAAATTAATCCAATGGGTAAGAAAGATAGTTAAATAAATTATTTTAAAAAATTCTTAAGCCATAACGCGCACAGGCTCTGATTTAAACTATAAACAAAGTAATGCTGCAACTATTTGTCAACTGGTGGGACTGAAGGCATGCTCGCCTAAACCTCCCTCTTATGTAGCCTACAGTGAGAACCTCAACAAACTTTGATATTTTACTAGGTCACTTTACAGGTCACCAACTATCTATAGAAAGGATGTTATATTACATTTGTCATATTTTGAAAGTTGTTTTTGTCCTCCTAGATTGGCGATCGGCACCACTGTGGGTCGGTCAGAAAGCATTTAAGTCCCACTAGGCAGATCTTGATTGTGTTCTCATTAAAGACGTAAGGATTGATCATAGATTAACAAATGAAAAAGTCCAAATCATATGACGAGCGAATATGGACAATTTTAATAATAATACATTCCCATTTTAAATATGGAATTTCACTTTCGTGCGAATTTTCGTTTTTGAGCTAGACTGTTAACACACACAGACCATTTTGTGAGACTTGGTTATTTGGACTCAAAGCGTATTTTCCGTTGTAAACTAGGATTCGAAAATTTTCACGATCGCAATTTCCTTTACTATATATTCCATATATAGGTAAGTGAAAGTAAAAATACTTAAGGCCAACTTATTTTTTTAATTAACGCATTTTTTCTTTATTAAAACAAATGATAAAAACATATTGGCATTAGGATTATCAATGAGGTACAAAATAAGATAATGGCTATAGATCCGGCCAAAATCGCCTTTAAAATTATAAAATAAATAAGGAGATAGGTGATCAAATGGATTTTTATTTGAAAAAAAAAAATATTACAACACAAAAAATTGGAAATAGAGATAGAAATGTATTTTAGTTTCTTAGAAAAATTGTAATCGTTGTCCCAGCATTTTAAATCAAAAAGACGATTCTAGAATAAACCTAGCTAATTCATCAAATCTGATATTTTACCATGACCCAAATACAGTGTATTAATCGTATTATTTTTAAAAAATTATATTTATGATGATACCAGACTCGATTCCATGACAGAACGGCTCGAAGTTTCCGATTACTTACTATAAAAACGCTCTAAACTTCCAATTAATTACAAAAGACTCATATACATGACTATAATAAGGCCTATTTGGACATACGTAGTTGAGCTATGGGGCTCCACTAAACCATCGTATTCCTCTCGTAACCAATCCTTACAATCCAAGATACGTCGTAAAATTCTCAATGCTCCCTATTTTGTTACAAATAAAACCATCCATAATGACCTTAATGTTTCTTATGTTTCAGATCAAAAACAGATAGTGACGTAGGATGTGCCGTAATACTGAAAGACCAGTGCCTCAAATTCAATTTTCCCCAAATAAACAGGGTCTTCACAGGCGAACTATTCGCCATATATCATGCCTTGTTATTACTAACAGAAAAAAACATAAAAAATGGTCTTATAGTTACAGACTCTTTAAGCTCATTAATGGCTATTGCCTAAGGGAAAGCCGACAATACCATTTCCAGGAAAATCAAAAACTGCCTCTGGGAAATGAAGGAGTCGCCGGACAGAGACATCGTCCTCGCATGGGCACCCTCACATTGTGGCATACCTGGGAAGGAAGCTGCAGACAGTGCTGCAAACCTCGCAAGAAGAAAAACTAATGGAACCACTAAGATCAATTTAACGACCACTGCTGACTGGAGATTGGAATGCAAAAAAAAATCTAAATGAAAAATGGCAATCAAGTGGAACCAATCTACGAATAAATTACAAGAAATTAAAAAAGATACCAAACCGTGGACGACCTCTTTCAGAAAGAACAGAAAAGAAGAAATAATTTTAACTCGGCTTAGAATTGGACATGCAGCCTTTACCCATGGCTACCTAATGAGAGGCCTGGAACCACCATTTTGTAAAACATGCAACACATCACTTACACTGAAACACATTGTAATAACTTGCAGACTATACTCTGACACCAGAACAAAACATAATCTACCTTCCAACATATCTGACGCACTTTCGACGAAGAAAAGATACAAAAAGTATTTTAATTATAAAAGACATTAAATTTGTACACCTAATTTGATTACATCTAAAGCCGCTAATGACCCTCTCGGGTAGATGCGGAATGTAACAATAAATAAATAAATAAAGATCTGGCCCAATCCAGATACCAATCCTTCCATAATAAACTTCAGAATTATCCCAACTCTCTCGTTTCTAACCTTGCTTCCTCTTCAATTCCTGATAAACCTCCGAGGCCTCTGAAAAGAAGATGGCCCCGTGATCTCCTAAAGTAGACATATCATTAGAGTGCAACCATTGGGTAGTTTCTCAACAAGTTTTTTCATGTCCTTATATCCATATGTTCAGATTTATTAAATTTATTTCTTTAATACAGTTGTAAATATCATTAAGAAATAAAAAAATAAATAAATTATGAAATGCTCACAATCGAAAATTTCTTGTATCAAAGGGAAAGTAAATCACAACTGTACGATTAAGCCAAAGCCAAAGCCATCCGCTGACCCTGGTAGGGTTGAGGCAAAGGTTAGACCTGATTTATAACTCAACTTATAAAATATAGGAGCATTACTACTGTCCAAACTCAGAGTTCTTCATTCCATTACATATATTGTCCAGTCTTGTTTTTGTCCATTATCGTTGTGGGACAACAGTTGGAATTAGCACATCAATAAATTCGGGAAAATATGAGAAAGTCTTGTAATTCACACAAGTGTAAGGGTATCCGTAAGTTATTTTTTTTTAGTTTTAATTTGATAAATTTTCGATAATATTCTTTATAGGCTCTTAAACAACTAAAATAAATAACATTAAAACATACATAATAAAACAATGAAAAAAATGTTATTTCTGAGCCCAATGAGATCATTATTTTGAAGTCTTAACAGAATTGGGCAGTATTTCAAAAAAAGTATTTTAAAATAAAAAACACTGTTTTTTTGTATTTTAACAAGTAAAATCTAAAATAGATTGTTGCATCTGCATTTTATTTTTAAAAAAGAAACTTTTTTTTTATAATCAGATAATTCTTTATTGAGATATATTACAATCTGTCACATTCGAGGACAATGGTAATAGTGATAAATTACCTACTTGTAGATTTTCTACAAGTAAAATCTAAAATAGATTGTTTGCATCTGTATTTTATTTTTAAAAGAGAAAATTTTTATTTTTTTTATAATCAGATAATTCTCTATTGAGATATATTACAATCTGTCACATTCGAGGACAATGGTAATAGTGATAAAGAGTAGCTCATTCATGCTATGCACAATAAATAAAAGTAATAAACAGCAATAAAATAATACTAAATGTAAAAAAAAAATAATAAAAAAAATAAAGCATGTGTATTTTACTTCCAAAATACTAAAATACAAAAATATATTTTATTTTGTATTTTAAAAATATAAAATAAATTACCAAATAGAATACGTTCCCTATATTGAATACCGATCGTACACTAGAAAGAATTTTGAATTTTTCTTTTTCTTTTTTTAATTAAAGAACTTTTAGTATTTTTTGTTTGAAATACATTTTCTGAAAACAATTTGAATAATTTTTAATTAAAATATATTGTACTTTAAAAATCCATGGTATTTAAAAATAATATTTAAAATAAATTTTACCCAAGTCTGAGTCTTATTGCACTAAATAAAGAATGAATAGGATTTATCTCTTCGTAGAATAACAATAGATCATTTGACTGATTTTATTTACTTTCTCCTAAAAAAAATTATTATTTAAGCAATAAACGATTAATGTTTTAAGAAAATACAACATTAATCCTACTGATTTTCTAACACGAATAAAAAAACTTTTTAACGAGAAGTTTTATTTTCTAAATATTTTATTATAATTTCGATTCGAGCAAAAGAGATACATCAAATTATTTTTAGAAAGAATAATAAATCTGTGGCGAAAATCGGTAATTAAAGAAAATAATAAGGTAAAGTTTTTGTTGCTTTGACCTATCGTTTTTGCAATGAAACAAATTTTGCTCAATTAAAGGTTTTTTTATAAAATCTTAATGTTTATAAAAAAAAATTGTTTATATAATTCGTTAAATTATGATATTCTAAGTAATTTATATAATTTTAAGGAAAAATGTCCTTAAAGAAATGAGAAAAAAAAATCCCAAGTAATCGTGATAAAGAGAGAATAACTAAATTTATAATATCGATTCAACAATTAGTACATGTCATAGAATTGATTTTTATGATTATTGTTTTTTTTTTTTATACATTTTAAAATGGCATTCAAGCCGAGAGGTTATAATATAGGGGAAATAAAACTTCTTCTTATAAAGAATTTTTTTTTTTAAAGGAATATCCAATCAGTCACATGCTCTATTTTAGGAAGAAATAAATTCTGCATTTATTCTTTTTTTAATGCAGTATAACCGGAAAAAAACGAGAAGTTTTTTAAATGAAGTAATGGGACTTCAATTACAGTTCTTAATTTTTTTTTTATCACAACAGAACTACATGTAAACATTTGTGGAATCTTCTGTAATGCTTGGGCAAGTTTCTAAACACAGAGCTCATAGATGGCATCGGATTCATCTAAACCATAGATGAGCTCAACGATGAGTATAGTTAACTTGACCCTTTAAAGAAATCTGCTGTTTTCAATTCAGCTTCCTCTTCTTCAGTTTTCAAGTATCTTGAATCACTTCAAGTACAATGAGCCCACTCCTGCCGGTAATCCCTTCATTCCCAAGTCCTGCTTGAAGGGCCTCTCTTGAAAAACGGGCTACTTTTCGGAATGCTGGAGCTTCAAGCCTCGATGGACCAGAGAGAAGTACAATAATATTGCACGGCCGCTCAACTGCCTAAATCACAGAGCATACTCATCAGTCAACTGATGTTATTTAAAATACAAAACAATAGAGGGGTAGATGGGACCATCGTCATATATATCAAATGTTCAGAACATTCAATAAAACCGAATAAGTGAAGGTAAGGATTAATATCTGTGGTGATGGAGGCTTCCCAACGTATCTACCATGTTCTGCATCCGCTCTGTTGAAACGCTGAGCCTCTGAAAGAAATTACTTGATGTAAGAGGAATGTTTCTCTTATATACGAAACACGGCCCTTTAACTCTATATTTTTCTTTTAGGTATGGAATTCGTTTTGCATAGATTTCCACTTTATATGCTTGTATCCTGTAAGTTCTTGATCGCTTGATTAGTACCACCTTTTATGTCGCATATGAAACGATAAAATATCAACGAACCTTAAACCTTAAACCTTCTGTTTCTAGGCAATAAACTGGGAGGTAACACTTATAGTAGTTCATTTCTACGAGTTCGGATAGTTGTTTTCTTTATATAATTGTACCAGCAGGTTACAAGGAGTATGTTGTAAGAATGATTGTCCAATACATGAGCTGGATTTTCAGAAACTCGACCACATTTGCGAAAGAGGCGTCGAACATCTCATTTTGCCTGGCTTATAAGTTGGCTCCGGTTGTAAGTTTGGTGGACCTTATCTTTGTAATGTTGGGCCCGTTATGCGTAGAAACAAAGTCTCTTTTTGAATGTTGAAATATCGATCATTTCACATGCGACAAAGCAATAGTAGATTTATATTGAATAAAGTTTGTTTGTTATATAATGAAAAAAGGATTTCCAGAAATTTTGAATGTTAAATAGAAGTAACAGGGTTCATAGAAGTAATATTGAATGCATATCCGTGAAACTAAAAAACTTTTACTCCATGGAAACATCATATCCAAACAAAAAACAAAATCCTTGGAATCCAAGTTCACGGAATCAATTATACTGTTGTTTGATACCCTTTTCAAGCCAACCTGTCTCATATTAACAGGACAAGACTTTAAGCATGTGAAAAAAAAAAAGAAAATTCGTTCAGAGAATTCTAACCGAGAAATCGGATCGTTAAAAAGAATTATGTTTCATAAAAAAAACAGCAACTGAGACCGGTGTTGAAAAAGATGCCATCAAAATAATACAAACTTGCAAACAGTGACAAATAAAGGCACCAACATGTCATAGTGCGTAAAAATAATAATTTATTATCAATATCAAAAAAAGTAAAAGAATGTGAAAATAGTTAAATCAACAATTAGTACAAATTTAAAAACACAATTTTAGATACTTAATAAATATTGAAATGATAGAAACTTCTAATTAGTAATTAAAGAAATTTAGCTATGATGTTATGTTAAAACTAATTGGCAACATAAATAATAATAATAATAATAAGCAAATTTAATCCATTTGCTTTTTACTATTTAGTTTTCATATTTTAGTGGCTCATATCCAAACCCATCCTAACACTGTCGTCACCACGTATGCTGATGACACATGTATTCTATCAGTTAATAATGATCCATCAAATGCATCCCAAACTCTTCAATCACACATCACAACCCTTGAAGAATGGTGTTCACGAAACTGGAGCATTAAAATAAATTCAAATAAATCCCATCAAACCACCTTTATCCTTCGTTATAAACCTATGACTTTCTTTCCTACATTATCCTTTAATAACAACCCATTTATCCCTGTAGAACAAATCAAATATCTAGGACTCCACCTGAACAAACGTCACACTTGGAATCCTCATACGAGCTGAAATTAACTGCTCGACGTTTCCTCTTACTCCAACACTTACTGTATAAACGCTCTAAACATCCAATTAATTACAAAAGACTCATATACATGACTATGATAAAACCTATTTGGACATAGGGAGTTGAGCTATGGGGCTCCACCAAACCTCCAAATTCCTCTCGTATCAAATCCTTACAAACCAAAATCCTTCGTAAAATAATCAATGCTCCTTACGTTGTCACAAAAAAAATGATCCATAAAGACCTTAATGTTCTGTGTGTTTTCGATTTGGCCCAATATAGGTAACTCCATAACCATCCATATCCTCTTGTTTCTAACCTTGCTTCATCTTCGATTCCTGGTAATCCTCCGAGGCGTCTAAAAGGAATATGGCCTCGTGATCTCCTTATATAGACATATTATTAGAGTACTACCAATGGGTAGTTTCTCAACAAGCGTTTTCATGTGATTATATTTATCTGTACGTATTTACTAGATGTATTTATAATAATACAGTTGTAAATATCATAAATAAAAAAATATTTTAGTGACTTAAATCAATTATATTGATTTTTTTTTATTCCTATCATAAATAATTGATTGTTGCTATTAAACCTAAGATTTCAGTTCAATTTTAATTTTCTCCTTTTTTTCAAAGATTAAAAACCATCAAGCCGTGGAATTTATATTTTTATTAGCTATATTTCCATAACCCTATTCTTTTCAAAGATTAAAAATATAAATACTTGCTGTATAAAAACATTCATTTACTTTTTCGATAGATTGAATTAATTTTTTCGATATATACAAAAAAGGATATTTACGACAAGTGATTTCTGGCGACGGCAAGAATTGTTATATTCTCATGACTTCTAGTGTCTATCCTTAATAACTTCCTTCCTCAGCCTCCATTGGCTTGTAATGCATGAAAGAAAAAACCTTTGGGAACTCAAATAGCCATGCTTTTCACTCAATAAATGGAGGAACGAGCTTATTTCGCAGTTCTCACGTGAGACGGTTAGGGCTGTCCTAGATTTAAATAAGTATGCACATGTTTAAAATGCTTATTTTATTTTATCCTTATAATTTAATTTCAGTTCCTTCATGGAGCTCGGTAGTTAAGGTCGACTCGAGAGAGTTAAGTTACATAAAATATTTTATATCATGAGTTCAAATGCCGTTCTCGAGATTTAATAAGAACAAGATAAAAAATATAAATAATTGTTAATAAATTAAGATAAATAAGCGGAGGCCAGACTCGATTGCTTAGACCACTACGGAGCGGGTTCGATTCCCGCATAGGAACGGTAGCGTCAATACCCATAGATTCACAGTGAAGTGAGCGATCCCTGTGTCTTACACCATAGCTCCTGGTCCAGGAAAGTGCCTGATGAAAAGATAGACGCGTCCGGTTATTGTAAACCACGTGTGCCCTGAATATCGTCAAGAGATCGAAAAGATGTGCCTATAACAGCCCTAAAGATGCTGGAAGATTCATAGTTTAAAAGACAAGAGGCCTAAGAAAATAAAAGAAAGAATAAGAAAAGAAGTTCCTACAGTATTTAATTTTGTTATATTTTAAGAAAATGATATATTAAGCAATCCCTTCATCACTATTAATTATTGTTCTTAATTGAGACATGTTTTGATATTTCACAAAACAAAAAAACCTGTTGTAAAATGGCCTTTAATGAAACCTTCAAGATATCATAGCAATAAGTTTGTGAAAACTTACAAAACACACCGCGGTTCTGCAGAAACTTCAAATGGATTCTATAGTAAATATTGCGTGCGGTTACGAAATAATACAATGAATTGATCAGAAAGAAAGCGATTCTTATAAATAATAATTACGACGTGCTGTATTAATTGATATAATTTTAAAAGCGAGCTTTACCGTGATAACAATAAACACTGATATTTTTGCGGAGAACTAAGCATCCTATATACAGGAACTCAAGTAGCCCACTCCTCTTCAAGGCCTCTTGAACAAGATGTTTTTATATAGAGGTCCTCCTCGGATAGACCCTTAAGATGCAGAGGATTCGTTTTAAAAGGGCGAAGGAATTTCAATAAATGCAATAGAAATTAAAATCTTTCCAAAGCGGTTAGTGAGGAATTCACCAATACTGATTTTAAACTCCAATAATAATTGTTTATATAAAAAAAATAAACCATATTCTTCATAAAAAGCGAAATCAAAATTCTTTTATTTTAAATAGAATTTGATTAATTCTTCTTATTTTTCTAAACAACTATCAAACATAATTAATTCTAAAGTAGAACTTGTTTGCACGTCATTTCAAATATCTAAGAGTATTTAATTTATAAGTATAACTTATTAACAAGCAATAAAGCAATCTGATTCTTTTTTATTTCTTAATGATATTTACGACTCTATTAAAGAAATACATTTAGTAAATTTGGACATATGGATATAAGGACATGAAAAAACTTGTTGAGAAACTAAACAATGGTTGCACTCTAATGATATGTCTACTTTAGGAGATCATGGGGCCATATTCTTTTCAGACGCCATGGAGGTTTATCAGGAATTGAAGAGGAATCAAGGTTAAAAACGAGAGGGTTGGGATGATTCTGAAGTTTATCATGGAAGGAAAGGTATCTGGATTGGGCCAGATCAGAAACATAAGAAACAGTAAGGTTAATATGGATGGTTTTATTTATAACAAAGTAGGGAGCACTGAGGATTTTACGAAGGATTTCGGATTGTAAGGGTCGGCTACGAGAGGAATTCGATGGCTTAGTGGAGCCCCATAGCTCAACTCCGTAAGTCCAAATAGGCCTTATTATAGTCATGTATATGAGTCTTTTGTTATTAATTGGAAGTTTAGAGCGTTTTTGAAGTAAGTGCTGAGGAAGTCGTTTCAGTCTGGTATGAGGTTCACGACGAAGGGTAACTTTAATTTGGTGGAATTTATGTTAATTCTCCAGTTTTGACACCATTCTTCAAGATTTAGGATGTGTGATTGAATCATTCAAGATGCAATAATTTGATTTAAAATTAATTTTAAGTAAATTTAATTTTTATTTTTCTCACTTCCAGATCGTAAATTAGTTGTGCGCAGGTTATGTGTATTTAGAAGCTCTTAATTATACTCTCATAGCCTCT